ACCACCACCACCACCATCACCACCATCACCACCACCACCATGCATTATGTCCCATACCCAGTGTGAAGTTGGTGCTAAATAATAAGACTGCTTTTCCCACTCTACATGTCTGGCAACGTGACCGAGGTCGTTGTCTGTGGCATCAACTTCAAATGGGCAGCACCAGGATCTAATGTTATTTGCCATCCTTCCTACATCCTCTTGCATAATCAGTCTTTGACCTGTTTTACATATGAGATTTGGGGGTGGGGCTAACCTCTGAGGAAGGAGTCCCCTGGGACTCATGCACTCATATGGAAGTCCCTGATAGACTCTTTCGAGGTGGACCCCCCTGCAGCCCAGAGTTTGCCTTCACCGTGTGAGCTCAGCCATGGCACCCTGTCCATGTATGGTCATCCCCCCAGAACCCTGGCAGGTGGGGTGCACGTGGTGGTGTGGATTTAATAGGGTGCCTTCCTAGGACCACTCAGTGGGACATCTGGCTCTTGGTTTTTTCCCCTCAGGCATTGGGCATTAACTAGACCATTTGGTTTCTCTGGCCGAAGGAGGGATGTTGGCTCAGATACCACTTGCCTCTCTGGGAACCAGCAGAGAAAATGACTGAGGGGAGGGTAATAATTTGAACTTGTAGCATAGCTCTTGCCCATGGTGTGAGGCCCACTGTCTGTGAGGCCTGGGGGAGGGAGTGTTGAAATAAACGTGCGCTCGCTCTCCATGGACTCCCTAGAGGGCAGGTGTCTGCCCCAAGACTGAGCCCTCATCTCTCAAAAGAATGATCAGGCGTTATTTTCATGACAGGAATCCAGAATAGAGAGCTGCATGGTGGAGTAGACTGGGGTGGAGTGGGGGATTGCGTAATAATGAAAGATTATTTATTATTATTTTTTTTACTTTTCAAAGAACAACTGGGGTGGGGGTGGGCAGGGAGGAAAATGTGCAACAGTGAATGAATTTCCATTCATTCCAGTCTCTATGAACTTTCATTACAATTTCAATTAAAAAAAAACCTCAAACAAAAACCTGAGGATGAAACCATTTCCCATGGAGGCAATTCCCACTCCTGGCCATCTGTTATGTGCCACATTCCATTGGATTTGGATTTTCAATCACTGTGCCCTTCTGGAAGTATATCCAGAATATACAGCCTGGACCTCAGGGTGGACCCCAATTGCCAAGCAGGATTCCAGGATCCCTTAAGCATAGCCTCACTCTGCAAATAGAGGTGTTTTTGGGTTTGGTTTTGTTTTTTATAGGGGATGGAAATGGAGGTTATATTTTATTTAAGTGAGGCTATTTCACTTGATTTGCTTCATGTAATGCTCCTGAATACATAATGCTTTTTAAGTTTTGCAGAAGCAAAAAGTATTATGTCCGCTCTGTTTCTAGCCTGGGAAACTGCATGACACATACTTCAATCATGATGTCAGAAGGAGCCAGGCCTTGGAAAAAGATATCATGCTGGCAAAGGTGGAGGGTCAGAGAACAAAGAGAGGAAGACTCCCGACAAGGTGGATTGACACAGTGACTGTAGCAGTGGGCTTGAACCTATCTGAGATGGGGGGGTGGTGGTGGCGCAGGACAGGGGAAGGTTCAGGTCTGTGGTTTGTAGGGTTGCTGTGAGCGGTAATCGACTTGATGGCACCTGCAACCACTGAACCAGCCAGCTTGCTCTGCTAACTCAAAGGCTGCACTTCTCCGGTGGTTCAGACCCTCCAGACACTTCTTGAAAGGTAATCTTTCAAGTCTACTCCCATTGTGATTTACAGCTTCAGAAACTCAGTGGAGGATCGCTGTGAGTCAGAATCGACTTGATGGCAATGAAGGGATTTCGTGTTAGGGCTCTCTGGTGGCAGAGTGTTGTATCGGGTTGTGATGTGAAAACCAAAGGCTGTGCTTTGGTTGTTTGACTCTCCCAGTGACTCTGGAGGGGAAAGCTGGGCAGTCTCCTCTCATGTTACATACCCTTGGAAGCCCCACAGAGGGTCAGCTACAAGTCAGAACTGAGGTGAGTTTGAGATTGTTTGAACTGGACTTCAAAATTATTAGAATTTGGACATACTCAATCCTTGTTTCAAAAGCCATTTACATTCTAAATTCCATTTAGAGGATTATTACACACTATACCGTGGCCTCGTTGGTAGATCGTTGGTCTGCCAGCCCAAAGGCAGATGGTTTGAAATCACCAGCTGCTCCGAGGAAGAAAGAAGGACAGTCTCCCTCCTTGACTTTGAAAACTTCCTAGAGGGTCAACCAGCTGACTTGAGAGCAATTGTTGAATGAATGAAAACTATGTCGACTCACTAGTGTTGGAATTAATACTTTTGGTTGTACCACAGAATTAGGGTCAACTCAGGTAAAGCCTGTGTTCACAGTAGAACAACTTGAAGGGTTTTCAAAGGTGTGACCTTTGGGAAGCCTGTCACCAGGGCTGTCCTCCGAGGCACAAGCTGTAGGGTTAGTAATTGAGTGCTTAGCTGTTTGTGCCGTCCAGGGTTAATGACAGTAAATGCAGATTAACTGAGCCTGGAATCCTCAGCACGTAAGAAAATTCAGGGTTGGAAGTTGAAGTCTCTTTTTATTCTTAACTTTGTCAGTAGCGGCAGTGTGATATTGTGATGTTAGAATTTTCTGCAATGTGCTGTGTGTTTTGTCACCCTAGTCCCATGATTTTGTAATTGAGGCTAGAACTGGAAAAGAATGACAGAAAGAGTGTATTAAGAGAGAAAAAGGATGATGGCGCAGGGCAGCTGCTTTAAACGGGCCTGTGTAGTTTGAAACATGCTCATCTTGGCTGACCTCTGTCACTTTTCCTCCACATTTCCCACCCTGAGCCCTCAAGTGTGATAGAGGCTTGATTGAAATTTATTTAAGCTTCTTATCAAAGCATAATTTAAAAACCATGCACACAAATATGAGCATTAAATAAATAAAACTCTTCTATGTTGCTCTTAATTATTTCTCCCTCTCCCTCCCCTTCCCTTGAATTTGTGAAAATAGAGAGACTCTGGGACTGTAGAAGGGAAGGAAGAAAAAAATTCCTTTCCTGTAACAAATTCTGCTTTTGTTCTAAATTCCTTCCCCACCCCTTTCTTCTTCAGGAGTTGAGGGGCTAAGCAGTGATCATAGGCTGTCTTCCTCTCTCTCCCACAGTTCCTGCAGACCGTGTGATCTTGGGAAATCTACGAGAATGTTCTAAATCCTGGCCATTGGGAGGATCCCAGGAGAATTCCTTCACGTGCTGTGCCTCCATTTCCTCCTTTCCCAAAGGGGAGTGAGAATGGGGCTATGAAGTTTTACCTCGTGAAAAGCACACAGCACAGGGTAGCATGTGGCTTGTAAATATTCACAATCGTCAGGGTGGTTGGTCTGCACCAACTGCATTATACAGTTGTCGTCATGGGGACGTATGATTGAGGAACCTGCTTTTTCCTACTTAATGTTGGAGGCACTTGGCACGTTGCTATATTTAGTATGCATAATTGTTGTTTCGTGAGGCTGCCTCCTGTTCCACCAAGCAGACGCCCTGTAACCCAACCATTCTCTGCTGGGTGTTGGCAGGCTGTTTTTGTTTTTTCCTTTACATTTTTGTTTCTGCTGATCAGAATGTTCCAGATCAATTAAGGCACTTTATCTGCAGAAGACATAAGTATGAGATGTTGTTAGTCAGCGCCAGGATGGACAGGGCCTCAAGAGTGACCTGCAGGACCAATTTTGAAGGACGACCTGGGTGTGGCTGGTTTAGAACTCAGGCACCTCTTTGGAGGGAGGTAGACCGCTCTACATTTTCCCTGTGAGAAGGCCTTCTGGGAATTTTCTTTATTTTT